TTTCGGTAGACCGCCCACTCCTGGGAGTCGACGGGCTCGGGAACATTGCGCAGAAGCATTACTGCAGCAGTGATGTTCTTGCTAGCCCGAGCGAACTATGGGAGGTTGTTCTCCTCGTTTATGATGTCATGTTGGACCTGGTGGGCGCGACCCCGGGCGCCGCCCACCGGGTCGTACGCATGGGGCGCAACGTGCTGTACCAAGCGCACCGGCACGGGCGGCGGCTGGTTCTGCCGCCATTGTCGTAGTTCCTCGGCGTGCACTTGCACAAACGCGAGGGGCCCCGCACGTGGGTCCGAAGGGGTGTGAGTCTACACAGACTCCGCAACGACCGGCGGCTGTCCCGGAGGGTCCGCCATAGCGCACTCCCGGGACGGACGGTGGCTAGGTGCTACGTCGCCGATGTTGGAGCTGTCGCTCTCACTCTCGTCATCTGGGAGTTCGTGGAAAGTGGTAGGAGCATAGCTCGGCATTCCCAGGAATTCGGATGTGAGAGGGGATGGCGGTAGAGTCCTTCGGAGCCCCCAAGTGCGCGCGTCCACGGGGGACGTGAGGCCGCAGGGGAACCGGTCGTATAGCGGTCATGGTGGAGACAACGGGGTCCCTCCGGATAATCGGTGGAAGATAAAAAATAGCAAGTAAATAACAGTATGTACGTTACTTACAGCGGGGTTTGAGCAGAGCGTTTGCTCGGAATAAAGTGCAGATGCCTCGTCGTTGAAGTCACCGTGCGTCCCGGAGCCGATGGAGGGTGCTGGAATGAGAACCTCCTCGTGGAGGTGTAGTACGCCGAGCCGGTCGGCGACGAAGTACAGGCTTCTGAAGAGGAAGGCCTGGGATGGCTCAAAGACGGGTGGAACCCACATCTCAACAGGTGAGTGTGCGAGAAACTCTAGTGAGCCGAAGCGAATCGTATCGCCTGAGCCCGCCATGGTGATGGTGGCGGAAAAGTGGGCCATCCGATGACCAAAAAGTGTTGAACGTACAACGTCTTCCCCACGGACGGTGCCAACTGTCGGTGCAGAAAGTGACCAACAAGTAAATATTTGTAGTTTTGCCGTACGTTGTGATCGGAGGTGGCCTAGCACTCAAGGACACAGGGTTTATACTGGTTCAAGCAACGTGCCCTACGTCAGTTTGAGTCGGTCGGTGACTTTATTCCTGAGCCTAGGTGCTCGAAGTTTGCAGCGAGGTTACAAACGAGAAGGAGAAAGATGGAGGATACAAGAGGTCCGGTCGGACTCCGGTCGGAAGGGCCGAGAGTGACGGGAGCCCCGCTATGAGCTAAGTGTTCAAGCGTGTGCTTGAAGTTCGAACCTAGCGGTTTTGTGGTTGTGAACTAGATCGATCTGATGAATCTGGAATGACTTGGATGAACTTGAATGAATCTGCGATGTTGGGAGAGATCGCATCCCCTTTTATAGATGAAGGGGACAAGTGAGAGGGAGAGAGTACGTATGCTTCTAATCCTTGTTGCCCACGCCAGCGGGTACAGGATGATGGTAGGCGCCCACAACACTGTTGGATGTCAGATGCATGTGGGAGGTTGTGTTGTCTTCTTCGGGTATGGCAGACGTCGACGCCTATCATACCGTTGAGACCTGGAGGCATGCAAAGGGTTTTTACCATGTTCGTCCGGTACGGTAAAAGCCGACGCCCACGACACTGTCGATGCCTAGAGGCATGTGGGGGGGGGGGCTCACCATATGAGAGTTAATGTCGCCCACAATACTGTAGGGGAAAATGTCGGCGCCTACAATACTGTTTGGGTCACTGTTGTGCTAGGGAGGTTGCAGAGTATTGTTTCTGCAGTGTATGTGAGTATGGTCCCAGATTGAGGTTTGACTTGTCAGCGCCCGCCTTGCTTTCTCCGTTCGTTCCCTAGTCTTTTCCGGAAAAGGCGTCCCGGTCGGTTGGTCCAATCGACTCGATCGTGCAGTCGGAGAAGAGCCGTGAGCAGGGGTTTGGCACATCCCGGTCGGAGACGCGGGTCTGAGTCGGAGGTAGTGCTTTGGCTGAGCCTTCCGGCCGGAGAGGCCGTCCGAAGGCAGGGCTGGAGACCGGCGAGTGCTCGGTCAAGAGGTGGGTCGGAATCGAAAGCAGGCGTTGTTCTTTCTTGGCCAGGCCTCCCGGTCGGAGATTCGATCGCCCCTTTGGCATGTGATTTAGGTACTTGGGCCAGCCCATAAGTTGTGCGTTTGTCTGTTTGGGCCGAACCTTTGTTGGGAGGTCGGTTCACGAGGGACCCCGGTTTATTAACCCGACACATGGCTTATCGACCAAGCTTAACAGGCATATGTCTAGAACTAGTTTGAAGTTGCTGGAGCCTATTATACCCTGTCCTTTTCCCCATTTGTATTATTATGGTTCAACATTTTACCTTGGCGCTCTCTCTCATTAACAAATTAAATTGATAACCATGACAAATAGATTGTTTGCACTTGGCTTTTCAAAAATGTTGGGTAAGCCAATGTTTAAAAGTTCACAATAGGTCTCACAAAATTATTGCTCTGAGTTTACTACTCCAAAACGTTGTTAAGCTTTGCAAATTGTTGTTGAGGTCTTTCTCCGATAATGCAAGTCTTTCACCTAGTGCAAATTGTTCGCCCGAGGTCTACCTCTAGTATTGCACTATATTATACTACTATTAGGTCACCTAAATGTAACTTTAGGGTCCTTAAAAATGTTTGCCTATTGTAAAATTACAGAGTATTAAGGTTTTTCAGAAGAAGCAATGTTAGGTCATTTAAATGGAATCATCTCTCTCATAATATTGTTTAAAAGATCCCGAAGAGTGTTTTCTATATCTATTTTGTGCTTAGCTTCATAAAATATTGGAAAAAGTTTAGATTACTTCTTTTAAGTTTGGTCAATGTCCAGATAAACCTCTAAACGAACGTTTGGTTCGATTTACACCCCTTAACTATTTCAGTTAGTTCAATTTACCCCTTAACTATTTTAGCAGTTAGTTGGGCGATCTGTCCACCTTACCCGACCGACGGTCACATGGGTAGCTAGGACGCCTGAAAGCGATGGAGGTGGGCGCGCCCAACCTGTCACCAAAGTCGTCGATCGTGATCGAGTCGGGTTGGCTTTTGTATCCAGCAGAGGTGCATGAATGTACCCACGGATGTACCTCCCGAGCCCCTAACTAGTTAGGAGAATCAGTCAAGAAGTTAATATGTAGTCGTGGTGAGAATGAGAATATCCACGCAGATGATGATGTAAGGCATGCATTCTTCAAACACTATCTTGATGTCGTCGACTATAAAAAAAATAATCAGTACCTTGACGGTGCAATTACCGTAAGGGAAATTGAAAATACCGTCAGGCAAATGCAAATCCAATTTTCCTGACGGTACACAGTCAGGGAATAACTGTTAGGGCTAGCTTGACAGGGAAATTAAAAAACGTCATGGTAATTATATTTACCCTGACGGTTTATACAATAACCGTCAAAAAAATTTGAAACTGTCAGGGAATTTCAAGTTTCTAGTGGTGACATCCTATTATTAGATACTTCAGATCATGTACATCTGGTCAAAAAGACAGCCACACACTTGGCAGCAGGTGTGGTGCTCACGAGCCTTGGAAGTGCAGATGACTTGCCTCCCCGTTGGCATGGCTACACACAAGAAAGTGGGACCCGACTCATCTTGTATATAATACAGTACTTCTTATGTATATGCATGTGCATATATATACGCTGAATCATGCGGAACTGATCATGGATCATTAAATTTGCTGGCCGGGGACGGCACCGCCGGCTTACGATTTGTCCAATTCTCGTGTGCTTCGTAAACGCATCCCTCTGGCCTCCACCCTTCGCCACGGCCACTTGATCGGCCAATTGCTAGCGCGGAGAAAGCGAGGAGGGGAGATTGCCGAGGCTATCACCTTGTTGCAGGCGGAGGCGCCGGTCGAAGAAGGATTCACGGGGTCACGGCCCACGGCTTCTCTCCCCTCCGCGCGGTGATCGTGATCCCCTCCGTCACACCTGTCTCGTCTTGGCCGCCGGCGTGCTCCTTGCGCTAGCGTGAGTGCACGGCCAAGCGAGGGACCGGCGGGCGGTGGCGCTGACGAATCGAGCCGGCAGGCGGACAGCGGAAGGCGGCGCCGTCCTTGTGTGGGGCAGGACAGCACACGGTGCCCGTGCTTGGCGTACGGGGCAACAGAGGCGGGAGGAGGGATAACGGGGGAGTGCGGCAGGCCGGCAGTGGCCACATCACGCAGCATGCCGGGCGCCGGCAAGGCAGCAACGAATCCTGGCAGCACCACCCAGCAGGTTAGTTGCAAAATCCCCACGGCATTTTCCCATTACACGCCCAAATCGCATCTCTAATTCAATTGCACAAATTGTTTCACTTTACTAGAATTTGTAGAATTATATGATAAGGATGACCTAGATTGCATCCCTAGTTTTTGTATTTTGCATATTGCATCCCTAACTTTTGCTAAGTGTCCAACTTGTAGTGTAGGCTGACATTCACGTGCTAGCATCGGTAAACTCATAAAGATATGAGAGGTGAGGTTAAACCGAAGGGTCATTAGTTAGGTATTTTGATTTTCACTTGCATTCATTTTATGCTTTACTTCTGTTATCTGTCAAAACATGACTCACTGTGGGTGATTTAGGGGCTTAAATGTTGGCCCTAGCTAGGCATGAGAATTTACTAGATCTGCCACTGGTTCTATGGCCTCTATATGTATGACACCTAGCTTCTGTCGTGCCTTTTATATATTCTCCTTCCATTTTGGATCATCATCTTCAGAGTATCGATCAAGGGGCTTGACACTAGCTATTGTTTTGTTAACAAGAATTTACCAAATCTATGACCTAGATTCATTTTATGGACCAACCAGCGGACATATTTATTGTTGCAAATGTCAATGTCCTACTTCTCTTGACTGTTTGTTTGTTTATATGCAGCCTTTTGCTTCAAGAGCTTGCTAATACTACTTGATGATGCTTATTCAGGAGTGAATCCCATAATAGAGATATGGGTTCCCTCACTGATATTGGAGTTTCTGCGGGACTAAACATACTATCTGCAGTGGGTTTCCTTCTTGCATTTGCTGTTCTCAGGATACAGCCTATTAACGATCGGGTATACTTTCCAAAATGGTATCTCAAAGGGACAAGAAGCAGCCCAAGGCAATTGGGAACTGTTTTCTCGAAGTTTGTGAATGCAGATTTGTCAACATATATCCGGTTTCTAAACTGGATGCCTGCAGCACTGAAAATGCCAGAACCTGAACTTATTGAGCATGCGGGACTAGACTCTGCGGTATATGTCCGCATTTATCTTCTTGGGTGAGCATGATATTCGGCTTTCTCAATTTTCACATTGCATGATTGTTTTTAGTTTCATGTCTTTAAAGTTAAAAAATAATTATTTAGACTGCCAGCTTGATGTTAGAACATGATCATTTGACTTGTTGGAACATATATATACACTGGAAAATCAATATATTTATAGCATTAGTACATTATATTTCCTGATGCTGAATTATGTTCTTCATTTGCAGTTTGAAAATATTTGTGCCAATTGCGCTGCTAGCATTTGCTGTTCTAGTTCCTGTCAATTGGACTAGTGGAACATTGGAAAATGAAAAGGGACTAAGTTATGACGAAATTGACAAGCTTTCAATATCAAATCTTGGAAAAGGTTCAAAAAGGTGTGAACTAATTCTACTACTTGCTTATGATATGTGCTGTTTAGTGTATCTTGCAATGCTAGAATTGAGCATGCCTCCTTTTTATCGAGATAGTTTTGTGCTGCATGATACACTCCATTTCAATTGGGCTTGTTCTAACCTATCATTTTCAGATATCTTATATCCATTTTCTCAGTCTTGTTGGAGATTAGCATAGAGTTTTAATTAGAACACAAAAAGATTGACTGCAATTGTAAGATTATGATCAAAAGAAACACAATCATTTCTGATATCTTCAAATTTTTTTCAAGCATCTGTGCATGTATGTAGTTGAGTATTGACATATTCTTTCATTTCTCCTATTACTTCACATAGTCAGATAAATTTTCTATTTTTTGTCTTTTTGAGTGAAGAGATATATCTACTGAATTCTTGAACTATTTTCATAGGTTTTGGGCACACATAGCGATGTCCTATGTGTTTACATTTTGGACGTGCTTTGTGTTGTATCACGAGTATAAGGTTGTGACAACGATGAGATTGCGCTTCCTTGCTAATCAAAATCGTCGACCTGATCAATACACAGTAAATGTTCTATCCTTACAATTTCAGTAAACGTGTCAGTTTTACTATATTTATTTGTTAAGTCTGCGTCCTATTCAATGAAAACATTATTTATTTCTGAAAACTTGTTGAACTGTAAAATTTCCTAATTGCCACTCCTAAGTCCTGACCCTTTTCTTATTTATTTAGGTTCTTGTGCGAAATGTACCTCCAGACCCAGATGAATCAGTTAGTGAGCACGTTGAGCACTTCTTTGCTGTGAATCACCGTGATCATTACCTTAGTCACCAGGTTCTAACTTTCATTTGATTATGTGTACTGTAGTACTGTCATGATGATTTATATGATCAGGCAATTAGAAAATAAATAAATAAATAAATAATTGTTTCTATTTCGATTTCTTCTTTGATTGTACTTCTTAACTCTTCAACTCATGCAGAAAGAGTTGCTTCTTTTCCTATCTTGTTCTTTTTTGAATGAGAGATCATATGTCCATTCCAGTTCAAATTTTGCTTCTAGAGTAACTTTATAAATCTGGTCAACAGATTGTATACAATGCAAACCACCTTTCTGGCTTGGTTGAGAAGAAAAAAGGACTGCAAAACTGGTTAATCTACTATGAAAACAAGCATGCTAAAAACACTGCAAAAAGGCCAAAAATAAAGGTACAACTTCTCTATTTCAGACATTCTCTTGCACTGAATGGCTTTTTTTTTCTCTTGCACTGAACGACTTTTGCCATCTAAAATGCTATTTCAATGGATTCATAAAAGATTGGAAGTGGTATGACTCCAGTAAATTTCTTACAGACAGGACTGTGGGGTCTTTGGGGACAAAGAGTGGATGCTATAGAATACTACCAAAAAGAAATTGAGGATTTATGTAAACAGGTATACTAAAGCAACAATCACCTCTTCATCAGTTGATACTATCGTCAGACTGTCAGGAACCCTCCTTGCTTCCTTCAATTCTACAACCAATTTAATTGATACCATTTATACAACATTTTCACATGCATTGCAGGAGGACGAGGAGAGGCAAAAGGTGATCACTGATCCAAACTATATCATGCCAGCAGCATTTGTGTCTTTCAAAACACAGTGGGGGGCTGCGGTTTGTGCTCAAACACAGCAGACAAGTAATCCGACCGTGTGGTTAACTGAGTGGGCTCCAGAACCTCGTGATGTTTTCTGGGCTAATCTCGCAATCCCTTTTGTTGAGCTCTCAGTTAGGAGGCTTATTGTAGCTCTTGCCTTCTTCTTTCTGACCTTTTTCTTCATGATACCAATTGCTATTGTCCAATCCTTGGCAAACCTAGAAGAGATCGAGAAGGTGCTTCCTTTCTTGAAACCTATAATAGAAAGGTGAGTGTTAATATTTGTTAGTTTACGGTTAAGTATCATGAAAAAGCATTTTTGGCATGCTATTTTACAAGTAGGTTTCATTTAATCCTACCATCTTGCAACTTAACTATTGTCACGCTGACTTCCAGTGACTCATCAATATGGTGTCCAAGTGGGCTTGTTTTTGCCACAATAGTGGGCACATTTTAAAATAAGATGGTCAATGCTTGAAATTTATTAGTAGGCATCGGTTTAAAGAGCTTCAGAGCTTTAGCAGAGCCTCTTATGTAGATTTTGTGATTTTAATACATCCTTGCTAAATCATTTGACTCAATGCCTGTTAGGGTAGCTTTTGCTTCTACATAGTTAGCTTTGGCTACCACTTCTAGGAAGCAGATTGGACCTAACCTTATTAGTATAATAAGTTATTAAGTTATAATCACATTCTACCTTTAGTTGCAAATATGGTATCTTGAATTATTGAATGATGAAATTATGTTCGCTTGAAGAAAATATTGTTTGTCGATTTACAAAAGTGCATTACTGGTTGCAGTTACCAAGATTTTCCTTGGAATGCATAATACATAAAATCCAACACCTTTTTGTATGGTAAATTGTTTGCAAGGTAATTGTTGTCTAATGGATCTAAATTCTATCGTGCAATGTCATGCAGAAATTCCCTTCAGGCAGTTATCCAAGGCTTCTTGCCAGGAATCGTATTGAAAATCTTTCTTATACTTCTCCCAACAATTCTAATGGCCATGAGCAAGATTGAAGGACACACATCGCTCTCTGGATTGGACAGGAAAACAGCAATGAAGTACTACATTTTCCTTTTCGTAAATGTGTTCTTGGGGAGTGTAATAACTGGAACAGCATTCCAACAACTAGACAACTTCATCCATCAGTCTGCTAATAAGTACGCTGAATTAAAATATCATTTCTTGCATTATGATAGTTTTGGTCAAATTTGCTATCTACCTAACAAATGCATTATCTTATTCTATGTCATTTTCACTTGTGTCACCTCAAGAATTCCAGAGGTTATTGGAGAGTCCATTCCTATGAAGGCAACATTTTTCATGACATACATAATGGTTGATGGCTGGTCTGGTATAGCTGCTGAAGTTCTTCGGTTGAAGGCATTAGTCATATTCCATATAAAGAATGCTTTCTTGGTCAGAACGGAGCACGACCGTGAGCAGGCCATGGATCCTGGAAGCCTGGATTTTTACAACTCAGAACCACGATTACAGCTGTATTTTCTGCTTGGTCTTGTATATGCAGTTGTCACACCAATGCTTCTCCCCTTCATCATTGTGTTCTTCAGCCTTGCATATCTTGTTTTCAGACATCAGGTACTACTCTGTTTGAGTTTAAATCACCATTATGTTTGTTGGAATCTTATTCACATTCCATAAAAAACAGCAACTTTGTGTTCAAAAAAAAAACAGCAACTTTTGATTACAACTTTGCCAACATTTCATTTGATACTTCAAGTACCATACTCTATTATCGATCTTCTCTAACATGGGTCCCTAATATACTTTTTCCCTATTTTGCAAGATAATTAACGTATATAGTCAGCAATACGAAAGTGGTGCACAATTCTGGCCAGATGTGCACATGCGACTAATCATAGCACTGATAGTATCACAAATCCTCCTACTGGGACTGCTGAGTACACAGGAAGCAGAGAAGTCCACTGTTGCCCTTCTCCCACTTCCTGTCCTCTCCATTTGGTTCCACTATGTTTGCAAGGGCCGGTTTGAGCCAGCGTTTGTGAAGTTTCCCTTGAAGGTAAGACCAAAAAACGAGCTCACAAATATATCTGAATAAAGTGTCATAATGAATCAATGTTAAGCTATAATAGCATGGAAAGCATACAAAAATGGGACCTATTCTGACATAAGCTGCCATACGCTTCTATTTGGCAGGATGCTATGGTAAAGGACACATTGGAACGGGCGCATGATCCGACTTTAAATTTGAGAGAGTACCTAAAGGGTGCTTATGTGCATCCAGTCTTCCAGAAAAATGACATATATAAGGTTGTCGCCATGGACGAGGAAGAGAAGAACCCCATCGTTGTGACAAAGCGGCAGTCTCGCATGAACACACCAGGGGGAAGCAAATTCAATTCCAGTTCTGGTGGTACTAATGAAGGGGAATTCAGTCGGGTGCCTCCTACCTAAAGCCTGATTCTTTCATGAGCAAATATAATTTTTTAGCCCAGTAATCTTGTAAATATTTGGAGAAAATGGAAATACAAAAGGAGGCAGTAGGATAGTGAAACAGGCTGTATTATATATGATCTACAATTTGTCAATTCATTAGTTCATCAGGACAATTTGAGCAATTAAGAACTGGAACTTCATCCAAAGTTGACGTAAGTCTTCCCCTGACTTTAGTAACAATTCTGATGCTGGAATAACACTGAAAATATTCAGATGCTTTCAAACTTGAGAACCTATTACAGGACCATACGTCAGTTTTGTTCAAGATCCAATCAATCAGAAAAACAAATTTACATTTAATTTTTGTTTCTTTGTAAATTTTATACTCTTATATTCCTTGAAGAAAAGGTGCAAAAGGCAGAAACAAAAACCGACGAAAGGATTAGTAATTCTGGGTATCAATCCTGCGGGTGCCGTGCAAAGTTAAAAAAAGTGAAACGTCATCTCAGTCTGAGCATCGAGGGCCCCCCCTATTGCATCCATCCCTTCTTGTCCCGTCGGCCCGATTGCAACTCTTCGCTGTTGTGGTTTCCTTCCTTGGGGAATTGGGGATTTCGATTCGACTGCTTCGTGTCAGCCTTGGCCGACGTGAGCAAGCAAGGGATCGCTGGATTCGGCCAAAGCTCAGAGGAACACCTCCGGCTCTTACTGTATTAATTTAGATAATTGTCGATAAGTTCTTACAACGCACAGTTTTGAATTATAAGGCATACAACTACCTGACCATCGGGCCCACACGTCATAGTCTAGCTATTACAAAAATATGAGATACTGCCTTCTATTCTTGAATACGCCTTCTCTTCTTGCCGCCTTCAGTTCTGGGGTGTGACAGCTCCCCCCGCTGAAGAATCGGCTTGCCCCAAGCCGGAGTGTCTGGAAACCGCTGCTTGACAACCTAGTAGTCCTCCCAAGTTGCTGAAGCCTCTGGCCACCCTGTCCAAGACAATAGAACTTGAGGAATCACAGTGTTACCTTTTTTTTTTACCAAACGTCGATCAAGGATACGCTCAGGCTGTGTTTCACTTGCTTGCAGATCAGTGGTCACAGGTAGCGTAGTATGCCAAGTATGATCAGGATGAAATGGCTTCAGTTGTGAAATATGAAAAACCGGGTGAATGTTGCTATCTAACGGCAACTCCAGTTTGTATGCCACCTTCCCAATGCGCTCCAAGACTCTGTATGGACCAAAGAACTTGTAGGTAAGTTTAGGATACGGTCTGCTTGCTAGCGATGATTGGGTATACCGCTGCAGACGTAGAAGCACCTGATCGCCGACTTCAAACTGCCTGTCAGATTGTTATCTGTCAGCTTGCACTTTCATTCGATTTTATGCTTGCTCTAGGCGTTGCTTGAGTGCCTGACAGTGCTGCTCTCTGTTGTCAATGACTTGTGCCACTGTAGGGGATGTCTCGGTAGTGACTGTTGGACAGGCTCTCAGATTTGGATCATATCTATATAGTGCTTTGAATGGAGAGCACCCTAGAGAGCTATGGAAAGATGAATTATACCACAATTGTGCTAAGGGAAGCCATGACTTCCAATTCTTTGGGGAGTCATGCACTGAACACCTCAAAAACATCTCAAGACACTGATTAACTCACTCTGTTTGACCATTAGACTGTGGATGATATGCTGTTGAGAAATTGAGGTTAACTCTGTACAGCTTGAACTGTTGCTTCCAAAATTGGCTAACAAAGGTAGTATCTCTGTCAGTCACTATGAATTGTGGCAGGCCATGCAGCTTAACAATGTTGTCTAGAAACAACTGAGCTATTGTGATGGCAGTATAGGGATGTTTGACTGGTAGGAAGTGAACAAATTTGGTGAACCTGTCAACTACCACCAAAATCACTGAGTAGACTTCTGATTTGGGGAGTCCTTTAATGAAATCCATGGATAGATCCTTTCATACTCCACTAGGTATAGGCAGTGGCTAGAGTAAGCCTGCTGGATGGATGCTACTGTGTTTGGCTTGCTGGAATGTGGAGCATTGCTTAATATAACTGTCCACATCCTTCTTCATTCCTTTCCAATGAAAGTGCCTCTTAAGTCTGTGATAGGTTGCATCCACCCCTGAGTGACCTCCAATGGCACTTGCATGAAAAGCTGTGATAAGTTTGGTCTGCAAAGCTGAGTTATGTGCAATCCAAATGAGATTGTTCTTTCTAATCAATCCTTGATCCAAGCTAAATTCTTTGGCATTAGGATTAACAATTGCCAACTTTGAGAAGTTGCTGTGCTTTTGGATTAGTCATGTATGAGTTGAGCACCTCTTGAACCCACTGAGGCTGCACTACAAAAACTGCCTACAAGGTATACATGTGTGCTATTCTTGACAAAGCATCAGCTGCTAAATTTTCTTTAACAGGTTTATACACAATTTTGAATTTCAAGTCCATAAGTCTGGTCATTGCTTTCCTCTGCAAATCAGAGTGCAGATACTACTCATTCAAGTATGGCAGAGATTTGTGATCTGTCAAAATTATGAATTCCTGCAATTGAAGATAGGGTCTCCACTTTTCCACTGCCATTATCAGAGCCAGGAATTCCTTCTCATATATAGATAAATTCTTGTGCCTTGGACCCAATGCCTTGGTTAGATATGCAATAGGTTGGCCTTTTTGCATGAGGACAGCTCCAATTCCCTCTGTACAAGCATCAGTTTCCACTGTAAACTGTAGTTTGAAGTTGGGTAAAGCAAGTACTGGAGTTTTTGTCATTGCTGGTTTGAGCTTGTCAAAAGCTTGCTGTGCTTTAGCAGACCACTGGAATTGCTTCAGTTTTGAGGATGTTTGTAAGTGGCTTTGCTAGCAGTGCATACTTACTGACAAGCTTCCTATAATATCCTGTGAGTCCCAGAAATCCTCTGAGCTCAGTCATTGGAGGTGTAGGCTAGTTGAGCATATCATCAATTTTGGTTGGGTTTGTTGCCACACCTTTATCAGATATAATGTGCCCCAGATACTCTAGACTGGACTGAGCAAATGTGCATTTGGACCTTTTGAGAGATAAAACTGATTTTGCCTAAGTGTTTCCAGCACTTGTTGCACATGTTGTAGATGATCAGTCCAAGAATCACTGTATATGAGTATATCATCAAAAACACTAGCACAAACTGCCTAAGAAATGGTTGAAGAACTTGATTCATAATATATTAGAAGGTGGCAGGTGCATTGGTGAGGCCAAAAGGCATTACCTTGAACTGGAATGTCTTTGATGAGTCTTAAAAGCAGTTTTGTGCTCATCTGTTGGTAACATACTGATTTGGTGATACCCAGATTTCATGTCCAACTTTGTGAAAAATTTGGAGCCAGCTAGTTCATCTAGAATTTCTTCAATGATAGGCATAGGAAATCTATTTTTGATGGTCATGTCATTTAGTTTCCTATAATCAACACAGAATCTCCAACTGCCATTCTTTTTCTTTACTAGTAAAACAGGAAATGCAAAAGGGCTGTGACTATGAGTAATCATACCAGTTTCCAGCAGTTGCTTTTCAATCTCATTTTTGTGCTGTGGAGAATAGTGGTAGGGTCTGGAGTTTACAGGTACTGACCCTGGATGGAGAGGGATAGCATGGTCGTAACTCCTTGGAGGAGGTAGTTGTTGGGGGTCCTGAAAAACATCAGCATAGAGATCCAACAACAGCTTCAGATCTTCCGAAATACTTGGGGCAGGTATTGCATTTGCTTGACCAGGTGAAACTTGATCCACAATCACATAAGCCCAGATATCATTGCCTTGAGAAGACTTGTATAATTGAGTGGCAGAAATTGGAGTAACTTGATCAGGAGTATTGGTAAAACCTTGTATGGTGACAGAAGTACCCTTATGATAGAACTGTAATATCTTAGCCAAATCACGATGCATGGGGTTGTTGGCCTTCATTCAACCAATCGTATCCCAAGATAGCATCATAGAATAACATGTCCAGCACTATCATATCATGGGAAAATGTATGACCTTGTATAAACCACTGCAGATTGGGTACCTTTCTAGCAGTGGTGAGCCATTCTCCATTGGCTAGCTTCACTTTCTGTTGGGATATTGGCACTGTTGGAAGATGAGCTATCTGAACAAAATGGGAGCTCACAAAACTATGGGAACTGCCAGTATCCACCAATATCAGCATAGTTTTGTTTTGGACAGTGGTTCTTAGCTGAATGCAGTCTGAGGTATGAGTGCCAGCCAATGCATTGAGAGACAATTAGCAAAAGTCTTCAGTATTCATATACTCAATAGCCATTTCATTAAGCAAGTCTTCACTGATCTCCTTGTCTAAATCATTGACCACTAGGGCATTCACTTGAGGTTTGATCCTTTTAGTACAATGTTCAGCATGGCCAGGCTCAAACTTCTCACCACAATGAAAACACAAGTTGTTGGCCTTTCTGTAATCCCTCAATTGTCTATCTATCCACAGGTTTCCATATATTGTTGCTGGTTTTGCCTCTGTTCTCTGTTGCTGAGGCCTGGTAGCTTGACTGTTTCTCTGTAACTTTTGCTTACTTCTATCCAGCACCTTTTGTTGGATTTTGGCAATGAGAGCTGCTCTATCCACAGTAACTGGTACTCATTATGTTTTCCACTGTGCATAGTGATTATTGACCTACGGGATCACCGGCTGACGACAGTGAACCAGATAGCCTCCAGACCACTAGCCTCACACCCCTGGCCTCCAGACCACTAGTCTCCCACCACTAGTCTCCAGGCCACTAGTCCCCAGACCACTAGTCGCAGACCCCTGGCCTCCAGACCACTAGCCGTGCCGACCACCGTACCGGCTTTGTCCGTACCCACACACTACGGATCGAGCTAGAAGAAGAAGGGAGAACAGAGCAAGTACGCACAATACAAGACAACAACGTTGACCGAGGCCCTGTCTGTGTGATGGCAAATCTGAGCTCTCTTTACTGAGTTGCATTGGTGCCCTATTTATACAACTCTATTTATCTAAC